AGTGATACCAACCCATAAACATAGGAGAGTCAGGCTGGCAGGGGGATCGTGTTGAAGATGGAGTGCTGAGGAGGCTGACGGTAGCCTGGGAGGGGTCCCCTAGGTCTAGGGGAACTGGCCTCCAGGCCGGGATTGAACTGGCTCAGGAGAATCCATTCAACCTCACGGTATGAACAGGATCAAGGCCTGGGAGCAGTTGGAGCAAGGATGACAGCGTGAGTACATCAACACACCCAAGGATTCACAAGGGAAAAGACTGCCACAAATAGAAAACTTTCATAGAACAGTGTTGTGTTTAATCCTTTATCCTTGTCCTGGGAGATCTTCAAAAAACCCAGGAGGGCTGGTAGTATCTTCAGGCTCTGGAGCTGGGAACAGTAGCATAGGGGAGAGGAGACATCTCTGCATGTAGTTTGCAACAAGCTAAGCTAACTTTCAGAGGGGCTGCGAGTCCCTAGTCTGTAAGGGGCAGTTGCTACTGATCCACAACAACTGATGGCTTTCAAGGAAAAAAACTGTCCAAAATCTGTTTCTGTAAATAGGAAGGAAGTTGTCCCCATGCATTGATTCAGTCAAGTTTGGCATCCTATTATCCCTATTACCCTATCCAAGTTATATCCCCTAATAAAATAACAAAAACCAAGCTCATGGACTGTTCACTAATGGTGGATGCAAGTGTGGAAAATGCGTGTTGCCTGGCTGTGCAAAGCTTAGAGGTGTCCAGAAACACAGTGGCCCTCAAGAGGGTAGTGCTACAGTATATATGTGTAACACCCTGTTACAAGTGGATGCAGGATGTTAAAACAGACACAAGATGGCAGTGTCCTGCAGAACAGAAGTATTTAGACTTTGTACAGCAGCCCCATAGAACTTGTATGCTGAAACACAGGACTTTGCTAAGGAACAGCAAAGTAAAGGACTACATTTCACAGAGGAGCTGGCGTGTGGGCAGAGGCGTATACATATGAAATCCCTAGCGATGAGACAGGAAGTGAAAGGGGAGAGATCTGGAGAGAGAAGTGCACTGAATGCAGGAGGACCGGACCAGGTCATGGAAAGAGAGAAAGAGAGGAGGCAAGGAGAATCTGCTGATCACTGACTTTGCAGCATCATGGAGAAAGCTAATCTGCTAGCAAGTGACCGGATGGAATGCTGCAGGTGGGACCAGAGAGTGTGTGGAGACCTTATCGAAGGAGAGAGAAAGACTGCCAGAATTTGCCAGACGCCATCCCTTGGGTGAGAGAGTCCTAAGCATTATCAAGGACAGGGAACACTGACTCCTGTTCTATTTGCTATTTTCATGCATACAGTTGAAGAAATTGCACATAGTTATTAGAAGTTGTGGCATAGTTCCTTTAGCAGCTATTGTCTGACTCCACTTAGCACAACCTTATCATCAGAACCAGGGGTGGACTGACAACTCATGGGGCCCCCGGGCAATAGGGGATCATGGGGCCCCTGTGTCCTTGCCCAAACTCAAAAAAGCCTATGAAAAAGGTATCAGGGGCATCTCATGGGACCCCCTACTGACCCCGGGCCCTCAGGCAGTGCCTGAGTTTACAAATGGTCAGTCCACCCCTGATCAGAACTGATAGCAGGACAGTTGGTCCACAGGCCAAACCAATGGTGTTGCACTATCATCATCAATTCACTCTGCTAAGGAGGCCTTTTCCTTATTGTGCCAAAAGTCTTGTAGCCCAAAGAAGAGTTGCCCTGTGCCAACAATTACTTTTAGCAGATTGGCCACTTGTTGCTTTAGATTCGCTAGTGACTATTGCCTTAAAACAACATTACGTCTGTAAATTTGTTGCTTCCAGGGGGAGTGTTATTCTTCTCTCTCTCTATTACACTGTTCTTCAGAGACTTACAGTCCACACTTCTCTTCACTGTGCACCGAGTGGGCCCCATCATGCATGCAGAAGACTCCTTAACATCAAGTCCTGAGGGCCCAAAGTGAGCTATTTATTTGATAGTCCTGGCTGCTCACTGGGGACTGTAAGACCTCATCAGGTTGAAGGTACTGGGGTAGTTTCTGAAAAGCAGACCTGCTAAATACTAATTGACATTCTGTGATAAGTGTTGTCTTTTCCTTAAGTTTAAATCCACACAAGTAACTATTGATTTTACACATTCCAATTCTGTTTATGCTGTTTAATCAAGCCATATTGAAGTTTGCCATCAATGTCGTACTAGTTTATTTCAATCCATGTCTGAATTCTAGTGGTGACTTATGTCAGTTAAGAGTGTACTGTGGTGTCAGCAGGGGTTGGGCTTTCAGAGTGGGGTACAGATCTACGGGGAACCTGAAAACAATTCAGAAACTCCTAAGTGGGTAGTGATATATATACATACTGTATATATACACACACATACATATATATATATATATATATATATACATATATACACACATATACATACATATATATATATTTATATATATATATATATATATATATATATATACACACATACACACACAGGGTTTTTTCTCAAAAAATAGGTGCAGGAACTCCCCCCTTCGAGTCACCTCTTGTCTTCACCCCCTGCCCACCTCTGAGCACCGTCACTTGGTTCCACCTCTTTTTGAGAATACACAGCCAAGTATTTCGTGGTGCTAAAATATCTGTATGGAATTTGTTAATGATAACAAGAAAAGCAGAAAATAGATCCCCCACAGCCGGCAGCAATAGACTCCCCACCCCCCCCAACAACAATAGATTCTTCCAGCAACACCTGGTCCATAAAACAAAATACTACCCTAGCAACAATAGACCCCCAGCAGGCAGCATCAATAGACTATCCAGCAGCTAGAAACAATAGACCCCTCCCTCAAAAGTAGATCCCTTCCAGCAACAATTGACCCCAACAACAACAATAGACCCCCACCAACAACAATAACCCTCCCCAGCAACAATAGACCACCACACAAAAATAGATCTTTTTTAGTGACAATTGATCCCCCATCACCCAGCAATAATAGATCCCCCAGCACCCCTTTCCACTACATACATGCAGTGCTGGAGGTGCCAAAACTGCGTTCCCTCATGTTCCCACTGAAAAAAAGCCCTATATATATATATATATATATATATATATATATATATATATATATATAAAACATACCACTTTGACAGACAGACTTATTGTTCTCAATGGAACACAAGTGCAGCTATCACATAATCTATTGACACCCCTCAAATGGTCTAAATGAAAGCCCATACCTTAGTTTGGACAGGGAGCTGGAGGAAGGGTCGGCAATAGATTGGCATTTCACCCACAATCCACTGATCTAGGTTGCAATAGTTTGCAGGCTCATTTGCAAGATAATAACAAATGCACATTTTTCCCTGCATATACAGTATGTGATCTATTTTTTATATTTTTTTGCAAAATGTGGACCTATCCTTTAAATATTTTCTTACCTATTTATATTTATTGCACAAACATTATTGGCAAACATAATAAACCAACAATATAAATTAGTCAGAAATGTATTTATTTGTAGAAGACATGTACAATTTGGTACCTATTAATTACTGTTTAAGCAGCACATCACTCTTCCCTTGCAATGGCTCGACTTTGGCATGTGTAGTAACCAGCTTACTTTGCATATCAATAATAATAGTAATTACAAGTACTTAGCATGTTATCATTGGGTGCCACATGTAGCTATATTTATGCTAATTGTAGATTTGTTGAAAGATGTAAATTAAGGGATATCCCTAGGCAAGTATATAAAATGTCTTTTTGTTCACCTACATCTTTCTTAAAAAATTAAAATAAAACACACTTTGCAGTGAAAGTAGTATAATTACATGTGATTTGTCTTTACATTGATTAGCCACACACCTACTGAAATCTGAAACCAGACTAGCAGTGGGAGAACCTGCTATATACAGTATGCTGGTGTATAGAAAAAAGGTCAGGATGGGTATGACAAGTTTTTACATTTTTGGGACCAGGAATAATTCCCTCTGGTAGGGTAAATTTGTACACAATAGTTTTGCCTTTCTCTAGGTTTTTAGAAAATACTTTTTTTTTCAAGGAAAAAATTGAACACAGTAAACAACATAATCATCAAGAATGAATTTACCATTATTCATAACAGACCTGTGTCTTTGGTAGAAACAAAGGGGAAGCTTTTCAACATATACATATTTCATCCCACATTTTTCCCCATAATCAGCAGTAATACTGGTACCTTTTATAATTTCTTTTAAACCTTGGGACAATATTCGAATCCTGGTTTAAAATTACTTATCCAATGAAATGTCCTGTGTTAGAGAGGTGATCCTAACAAAAATTCTCTACCTACAGGATCTGCTGATCCAACCCTGACTACCATGTTTCAGTTTTTAGCTTACATAAGCTCTTTGTGTAATAACATTGATCATATTGTATGCAGTACCCATTAACTTATTGAATTACACTGGACTTATGATTCTTTTCCGGCACTGGAAATAGTTGGGAGGTGTTTGGGGTGATTAGCGGACTTGATTATACTGTATAAAGAATAGGTCTTATTATGGGAACAGCTTTCTATATTAGTGGGGATTTCACAATAAAAGTAGAAATTTCCTAATAGATTGGTGCTTCTCCAAGTGGTTAAAGGGAGTGCCAAGTGCAGCGTCCTAGATAACAATATGGGAACCCTGTGTAGGATCCTTGTCCTGAGATAACTGAGATCTTCTAGGACCTGCAGGAGAAGGGGACCCTCCATTTCACAACACTAATAGATCCAGAAAAATCTGAATATTGGAGGTAGGAAGTTATCCATCCTTGATGCTCAGTAAACAAGAATGGAAGAGAGATAAACGTAAGAAAAAGTACATATCAGCTCTTATTTATGTAGAACCCAACCTACTATACAAGTTCTTTCCATTTATATGTGAAATTATCATTAGCCATCATAAAAATGTTCCTTCAAGGTACATTTGAACAATGTAAATGTATACATAGTTAAGTGTTTTTTTTCTAAAACTGAATTGCAAAAGAGGTTACAAGGTCTGAAGTTCCATTGACTTTCTCCTAGGCTGTTCCTGTCTTTCTTCCCAATCTTCTTCTGCTTCGATGGAGGGCATTTTCCCTAACAGAATTGCTAATTTCTCACGGAAGGTTTGCTCCTGGGGACATAGCACATAATTGTAGATCAATGATGCAAGTATGGCTCCCACCATAGGTCCAATCCAGAAGATCTGTCAAAAATATAAGGTTTATTTAATTCAAAATGTAAACTGTTAAAAAGCATGCTGAACATCCTATGCAACTTTTCATTACAAAAGCACCTCTGATTTTTGTGCTTTCAGAAGTAGCCAAATTGCATATTCATGTGAAGCCTTACCTGTTAGAGCATATATACACATTGCTCCTGGAAACATTAAAACATCAGTCTATTTAAAGCTGATATTTTAGATTTTGGTAGATCCTAGCCAGTTGAACCATCTGATAGTTTTATACATAACATATAATTAGAGATGAGCGAATCGAACTTGGCGAAGTGGAATTCGTTTCGAATATTAGGAAAAATTCGATTCGCACCGAATCCGAATTTTAGCAAACTTCGGATGCACGAATCGAATTTTTCCCGATCAGCCGGCAAAAAGTGTCACTGCAGAGAGCTCCGCTATTTCTGACAGTTCTCTGACAGTTCCTTCACATTTACAGCGGTTGAAACATTGTATCTATTTGTTTCCATTTAGGATACAGATGTTTTTATTCGGAAATAAATAGATACAATGTTTCAACCGCTGTAAATGTGAAGGAACTGTCAGAGAACTGTCAGAAATAGCGGAGCTCTCTGCAGATACACTTTTTGCTGTACTGGAATACTTCTTCTTTTCATTCTTCTTCTTCTTTTTCATTCTTCTTCTTCTTCTTCTTTTCATTCTTCTTCTTCTTCTTTTCATTCTTCTTCTTCTTTTCATTCTTCTTTTCATTCCTCTTCTTCTTCTTTTCATTCTTCTTCTTCTTCTTTTCATTCTTCTTCTTCTTCTTTTCATTCTTCTTTTCATTCTTCTTCTTCTTCTTTTCATTCTTCTTCTTTTCATTCTTCTTTTCATTCTTCTCATTCTTCTTTTCATTCTTCTTTTCATTCTTCTTCTTCTTCTTTTCATTCTTCTTCTTCTTCTTTTCATTCTTCTTTTCATTCTTCTTTTCATTCTTCTTCTCATTCTTCTTTTCATTCTTCTTCTTCTTTTCATTCTTCTTCTTTTTTTCATTCTTCTTCTTCTTCTTTTCATTCTTCTTCTTCTTCTTTTCATTCTTCTTTTCGTTCTTCTTCTTCTTCTTTTCATTCTTCTTTTCATTCATTCTTCTTCTTCTTTTCATTCTTCTTTTCATTCTTCTCATTCTTCTTTTCATTCTTCTTTTCATTCTTCTTCTCATTCTTCTTTTCATTCTTCTTCTCATTCTTCTTTTAATTCTTCTTCTTCTTCTTTTCATTCTTCTTTTCATTCTTCTTCTTCTTTTTTTTCATTCTTCTTCTTTTCATTCTTCTTCTTCTTCTTCTTTTCATTCTTCTTTTCATTCTTCTTCTTTTCATTCTTCTTCTTTTCATTCTTTTTCTCATTCTTCTTCTTCTTTTCATTCTTCTTCTTTTCATTCTTCTTTTCATTCTTCTCATTCTTCTTTTCATTCTTCTTTTCATTCTTCTTCTCATTCTTCTTTTCATTCTTCTTCTTCTTTTCATTCTTCTTCTTCTTCTTTTCATTCTTCTTCTTCTTCTTTTCATTCTTCTTCTTCTTTTCATTCTTCTTTTCATTCTTCTTCTTTTCATTCTTCTTCTTCTTCTTTTCATTCTTCTTTTCATTCTTCTTTTCATTCTTCTCATTCTTCTTTTCATTCTTCTTCTTCTTCTTTTCATTCTTCTTCTTCTTCTTTTCATTCTTCTTTTCATTCTTCTTCTCATTCTTCTTTTCATTCTTCTTCTTTCTTTTCATTCTTCTTCTTCTTTTTTTCATTCTTCTTCTTCTTCTTTTCATTCTTCTTCTTCTTCTTTTCATTCTTCTTTTCATTCTTCTTCTTCTTCTTTTCATTCTTCTTTTCATTCTTCTTCTTCTTCTTCTTTTCATTCTTCTTTTCATTCTTCTCATTCTTCTTTTCATTTCTTCTTTTCATTCTTCTTCTCATTCTTCTTTTCATTCTCCTTCTTCTTCTTTTCATTCTTCTTCTTTTCATTCTTCTTTTTCATTCTTCTTCTTCTTTTTCATTCTTCTTCTTCTTCTTCTTTCTTCTTCTTTTCATTCTTCTTTTCTTCTTCTTCTTCTTCTTTTCATTCTTCTTCTTCTTTTCATTCTTCTTTTTTTTTTCATTCTTCTTCTTCTTCTTCTTCTTTTCTTCTTCTTCTTCTTTCATTCATTCTTCTTTTCATTCTTCTTCTTTTCATTCTTTTCTTCTTCTTTTCATTCTTTTTTCATTCTTCTTCTTCATTCTTCTTCTTTTCATTCTTCTTCTTCTTCTTTTTCTTTTTCATTCTTCTTCTTCTTTTCATTCTTCTTTTCATTATTCTTCTTCTTCTTTTCATTCTTCTTCTTCTTCTTCTTTTCATTCTTCTTTTTCATTCTTCTTTTCATTCTTTCTCTTCTTCTCCTTCTTTTCATTCTTCTTCTTCTTCTTTTCATTCTTCTTCTTTTCATTCTTCTTTTCATTCTTCTTCTTCTTCTTCTTTTCATTCTTCTTCTTCTTCTTCTTCTTCATTCTTCTTCTTTTCATTCTTCTTTTCATTCTTCTTCTTCTTCTTTTCATTCTTCTTTTCATTCTTCTTTTCATTCTTCTTTTTTTTCATTCTTCTTCTTCTTCTTTTCATTCTTCTTTTTCATTCTTCTTTTCATTCTTTTCATTCTTCTTCTTTTCATTCTTCTTTTCATTCTTCTTCTTCTTCTTTTCATTCTTCTTTTCATTCTTCTTCTTTTCATTCTTTCATTTTCTTTCTTCTTCTTCTTTTCATTCTTCTTCTTTTCATTCTTCTTTTCATTCTTCTTCTTCTTCTTCTTCTTCTTTCTTCTTCTTCGTCGTGCCCCGTGACTGCCCAAATGTGTGAAGTGTGCGGTGATTCTAAGATCAACGGCACTCATCTGCATGTCATACTGACTGACAGTATTATTTCTCTTCCCCAGCAGACTCCAAGGGCATTTAAATTAAAGGTACAGTGTTCTGCACTAATATAAAGGCTCTCTGAAGCCTAGAAACCCTTTTAATAAGTTAAATTCGCAGCGAATAAATTCGCATCGAATCGAATTTCTCCCGCAAATTCGGCGAATCAGCCGAATCGAATTTTTGAATAATTCACTCATCTCTACATATAATATATACAGTGGGGAAAATAATGATTTGATCCCCTGCAGATTTTGTAAGTTTGCCCACTTACAAAGAAATGAAGGGTCAAATGAATTCTTATCATAGGTATGTTTTAAATCATAGAAACAGAATATCAACCAAAAATACAGAGAAAAAACACATGATACAAATGTTATACATTGAGTTACAGTTCAGTCAGTAAAATAAATATTTGATCCCCAAGCAAAACATGACTTAGTACTTGGTGGAGAAACCCTTGTTGGCAAGCACAGAGGTAAAATGTTTCTTGTAGTTGGTTATCAGGTTTGCATACATCTCAGGAGGGATTTTCGTCCACTTTTTCTTTACAGATCTTCTCTAAATCCTTAAGGTTTCTTGGCTTGGCTTGGCTTGGCAACTGAAAGTTTCAGCATCCTCCATAAATTTTCTATAGGATTAAGGTTTGGAGACTGGCTAGGCAACTCTATGACTTTAATGTGCTTCTTCTTGAGCCACTCCTTTGTTGCTTTGGTGGTATGTTTTGGGTCATTGTCATGCTGGAAGACCCATCCATGATGCATCTTCAGTGTTCTGGCTGAGGGAAGAAGATTCTAATCCAAAATTTTACAATATAAGGCCCATTCATGGGACTGCAAAGTTGGCCTGTACCTTTAGCAGAGAAACCGCCCAAAGCATAATGTTTCCACCTCCATGCTTGACTGTAGGGATGGTGTTCTTAGGGTCATAGTCAGCAATTTTTCTTCTTCCAAACACGGTGAGTCGAGTTAATGCCAAAGAGCTCAATTTTGGTCTCCTCTGGCCACAGCACTTTCTTCCAATCCTTCTCTGAAATCGTTTAGATCAGTGGTTCTTAACCTGGGTTCGATCGAACCCCAGGGGTTCGATGAGTCAGTCTCGCGGGTTCGGTGGAGGTGAAGACCCACACCCGACTCATATGATTCGTGCAGTAAATATTCATTATTATGTTTTTGTTTTTGTGTGAAAATCATGTTTTAATGGCTTTGTTCTTAACGGTTTTGTTCATTTTGTGCACCTATGTATAAATATATACCTATGTTTTGAATTTTAAAAATCATATTTTATTTTTCCAATTAAGAAGGGTTCGGTGAATGCGCATATGAAACTGGTGGGGTTCAGTACCTCCAACAAGGTTAAGAACCACTGGTTTAGATGTTCATTGGTAAACTTCAGATGGGTCTGTACATGTGCCTTCTTGAGTGCCCCCTGGCCTTGTGGGCACTGCAGGATTTCAATCCATGGTGGCATATTGTGTTACCAATGGTTTGTTTGGTGACTGTGGTCCCAACTGACTTCAGATCATTCACAAACTCCTGTGTAGTTCTGGGCTGATCCCTCACTCTTCTCATGATCATCCCTACCCCATGAGGCAAAATCTTGCATAGATCTCCAGACTGAGGGCGATTGATGGTTATTTTGTATTTCTTACATCTGCAAATAATCGCTCCAACAGTTGTCTCCTTAGCCAGTCTGTGGGAGTCAGAATTATGGTTGGTTGGTAGGGGTTTAAATACTTATTTTACTTACTGAACTGAAACTCAATTTATAACATTTGTGCTTGTTGTGTTTCTGGATTTTTGGTTGATATTCTGTCTCTATCATTTAAAATACACCTATGAAAAAAATTATAGACCCTTCATTTGTTTGTCAGTGGGCATACTTACAAAAATTATTTTCCCCACTGTATCTGTACATGAGTACTTGGATCCATATGCCAACTATGGGCATTATAAGGGACTCTTTCTCTCCTTGCTGATTTTTAAATATATTTTAATATTATGCATAATGCAACAGGAGTAGAAGAAGTACACAAAGATGGATGGGAACACCCAAAACACAAATACGGACAGGAGCAGAATTGAAAATTAAGGCAGTAGTTGTAGTATCCAAGACCTATAAAAAGTCATGGGCTTACTTAGCCTTCAAGCTTCCTAACTACAATATTACTTTGGGTAGACTAGTCCTTTAAACACAGAAGTGTTTTTACATCCTTATACAGTTCCTGACTAGGCAACATTTCTTTCTGTTCTTATAAAGTCTTATTATGTATTTGAGGTTAAGAGCAGACATAGAAAATGTTCTGACTGTTGCTGTTATTGATGCCAACAACAATATAGCTGTCTAAACACATAAAGATCGGGGGCCACCAGAAACAAAGTGAGGCTACAGCTTCAGTAGTCCAACCATTAGGAAATTTAGCCATAAACATGCATAGTCAAATCTGTTGAAATTAGGAATCCATCGGCTTTGCTTATTCTTATAACTTAAAGCGGAGCTCCACCCAAAGGGGGAAGTTCCACTTTAAGCCTTTTTCCCCCGCTCCCCATTAAGGATTGGCACCTTTGGGGAGCAGGTACCCGCTCCCACTTCTGCTGCAATCGCCTCCCTCCCCGTAGTCTTCTGGGACACGTGACAGGTCCCAGAAGACTACGAAGTCATTCACAAAGCGCAGCTCTTCTTGTGCATGAGCATTGGGCACCCAGCTGTGAAGCCATAAGCTGTCACAGCCAGTGTCCACACTGAAGATGCTGGCACCAGGGAGAGAAGGCGGCCGGTGTAACCAGCGGTGGTGAAGAGGGACAGGTAAGTGGCTATATTTTAGAAGTCAGCAGCTACAGTTTTTGTAGCTGCTGACTTTTATTTAATTTTTTTAGGTGGAACTCTGCTTTAACCTTAATATGGACATCTCAAGTCTCAGAAATGTGGGACATTTTCTTCCATAGCAGTATGTGTATTCAAAGACCCATGCTGCATACTGCAGTGAAAGCTGTGATCAAAGAAAACAATAACATTGTGTTATACATTTTCTAATGATGTCAAATTAGTGTTTGGTTATCTGCCTGCAATTCTGAGACCCTGAATATAATCCTATATTTTTAGAATCTTTAGAACAATGATGTCTTACCCAGTGTGAGGTGAAGTTTCCCACTATCAGTGCTGGTCCAAAGGAGCGTGCTGGATTCATAGAGCAGCCAGTAAAATAAATCTATATCCAAAAGAAAGAATTATAAAATACATAACATAATATGAGTGACCTTGGAGACACATCATGCCATGTTTTAACTAAAAACCTTATTAGACATAATGGAAATAACAAGAAGGAAGACCAAAAGTGCTATTTTACAGGTTATGGAGAATCCAAGGTCACTTTAAATATATGTGATACTATGTTATAATATCTTGTTACCAGATGGAGAGCCTTTATGGACGTCGCCTTGTCTAACTCAGAAGTATCTTCCCTCGCAACCTCTTTATGCTTCTCCCAAGGGCTTCACTGACCGTATGAGCACTTTGACAGAAGTTGACTTGGCTACCACTTCAGTACCCCTCCATCAAAATTTAGTTTCACTGATCTTTTAATATCACTGTTTAGGGCAGTTGACATATTTTTAGATTATTAGGTTTCAGTATGTTCTTATGTGTTAGCTAAACCACTCCTATATGTAGGGTGCTGTTCTCCCCAGGCCAGCTCCAACCCCCTGGGTTGGCAGTGACCCTTAGGGGACTTTCAATCCATGTCTTCTTAATCCTTTGGGTTATCTGTACATTTGTCATGATCAGCGTAATGTATTCTACTGCAATCTTTTTTATGAGTTCCAACTCTTTACAGAGTCACTCTTTGCAGGCATGTGACCCTATCATAGAGCTGTTTTGACACTTTGGTTTTTATGTTTTGTAAGACTCAATAAAATGTATTTAATTAAAAAAAAAAACTTGCTACTATTTACAGCTTAATTGATATACTGTTTGTGAATTTGCAGACAGATCTACTCATTACAAATACATATTCCATAATCTTTAAAGTGTATCTAAATACAAGAAAAGAAGTGCAATACAGTATATTGCAGCTTACAGTCTTTACATATGGTGACTGCATTAGTTTCCTCAATTTCAGACAGTCTATGGCCCTCTTCACCCATGTGCATGTCCTAGAGATAAATCTAACTCACTGCACTTCTTTATTCTTTACCAGTCTTTAAAAATTATTTTAAAATTATTATTCAGTAGTTGCATCACAAAAGACCATCTAACATACAGTAAGTAGCCTTTTGTACTGTACACAAGTAGGATTATTTTTGCTAAAATGGTATTCTGTTGTCCTAGCCAATTGGTACTTAGGCAACAGCAACAACTAATATCTTCAAAATAATTTGCCATTAAAGTCACACCAGTTCCCTTCACTCTCACTAGTTGGTCTGATTCTGTACTAATACATTTGAATTTCTTGTGAGTCATTTTATATAAGTATTTCCCATGGTACACAAGGATCACAAATCATACTGTGAGTCAAAATATCAAAAGCTGCAGGGTATCTCTTTCTAACTAGGGCTTTTAAACTGGTATGAAACTAGGCAGATCAATAAGTTATCATCAGCTTTTAAGTTGTCCACTTAGAAATTTTAAAGTTTCTAGCTATTTATCAGCCTAAAATATATTGGTATGCAGTAAAATTAAAATGTTGATAGTAAATAAGAATTATGGAGCATTTTACGTAAATGATGATAGGTTGTAAAAGTTAATGGCTGCTTCAGATCTGACATGCAAATTATTTCCCTTCCCACAGGGATTCTTCTGCTCAGATGACAAACTGTTTGACATATTGTGGAGAGACCTGTATATTCAGTCTAATCAATGGCTTTTGAGAGTTATTACATGCTATTAACGGATGCCCATACTAATGCATGAGGAATTCTAAGCTAGAATCCAAATATTATATAGCATGAGGTTTATTTACTAAAGCTATTGAAAAAGATCAAGTAAGAAGTACAGCAAACTGTAGCAGCCAATTGTAATGCTCTTTGTGCTTTTTAGTTGCTATTGGTTACTGTATCTCTGATAATTTTCTTTGTCATATATAAATATTGTAATTCTAGTTTTATTAAAGATAGGAAATTATTGACATGATATACTGTATATTTATTATATATCCAATTAACAATTTGCCTGTCTTTGCTGTAATTGAAGAGCATCAAAAATGCAAATGCAAAAATTGTACCCCCTATAGTGATGAAGGTTACATTTACTGAACTTCACATCCTCGTAGCTTATGAAGGAAAACAGCAAGAATACTTGGCATCATGCTTTTCTTGATTCAACATTCTCAGTGATATAGCTACGGAAGTTGGAATGCCATAACAAATATTTTTTTATTTTCTTTGAAAAAGATTTAGATGCTTCAAAATGAAAAACTACAGTGGGCATACATCAACAGAAGAAATAATGTGTAGTCCAGTTGTTGGCCCTTTAAGCCACGCAGCAGAACATCCTCCCCTGGCCGCAGATCGATGTTCCTCCCTTCAAGGACCGACAAAGCTGCAGAGACAGAGAGATAGAAGGGCTCTTCATTGGCTGGAAGACTTTATCCCCACCCAATGGCACCAGGATTGAGGAAAAAGTATCAACAGCATAGGAGGAACAGCTGCCATCTTGGTAAAGATCTGAAAAAAACAGAACCCTGATGGCTGTAGACACAGCTTTGGATTTTAACCCACTCACCAGAGCTGGCTAGAGGATGAGAGTTCACATTCTAGAGAACTTTGGGTTGGAGAGAGCTACGTCGGTTGGATGGACTGAGCTAGAAAGGGAAAGAGCAGTCATTATCTGCAGACCTTGATACAGAGGTGCTGCCAAGCTGAGAACCAAGCTGCAGGAAGCAGAGCTGCATAGTATAGTGCCCAGAAAGACTGGCCACAGGGACCTACTGTGGCACTATAGGGCAGAACCACAAAGAACAGTCACCAGAGCTTCTGAAAGTAAGACTGTAATCTTCTGGTGGAAAATACTAAACTGTGCTGCTGATGTAAAAGTGAGAGGAGCCCAGGGGAGTGACACGATGTCTCACCGGGCCTCCAAAGTACCGATTGAGATCTTCACCTATGGTGAAAAGTGCTTTCGTAATAACCTTGCAACCCTTGCTGCATCCTAGACAGAGCACTCCAACAGAGAATCCAGAGCTTCAACACCAGCACACTGTATACAGATCACTGGCCACAGGTGTAGTAAGGGTCCATTGAATTCTAGGTAGGCCAGATAGTTAACCTTTTAGTTTGGCTATGTGTGTATTTGGTCCAGAATTTACTGCTTGTCTTCTGATAATGTTACTAAACTTTTTACTTTTCTTTCTTTTCTATAGGTTTTCTATCATTCTTTAAATAAGGCCACTTTATACTGCAGGTAAGTTTGGGCGCAGTAGAAGGACCCTTCCACCCCATGGCTCTTAAGGGGGTGGCTTTGCAAATATGTAAACAGGACTAAAAGTAGTCATGAGCAGCCAAATCCTGGTGGTAATTCAACAGCCCAATATGATGCTCTAGTGAGGACTGGGTCAGCCTAGGATGGAATCTTGAGTACTTCCAACACAGGAGGCATCAATTTATGTACACAGATTTTCCAACTTGTGACATAGCCCATCTTGTCAATAAAATGTTGGAAGGAGGTGGTAAGTATGCTTGTTCCAGTTTGATAGTTGCTGAAAGACCACTGGCAGATCCCAGACAGGGGCGGACTGACAACTCATGGGGCCCCCGGGCAATAGGGGATCATGGGGCCCCTGTGTCCTTGCCCAAACTCAAAAAAGCCTATGAAAAAGGTACCGGGGCATATCATGGGGCCCCCTACTGACCCCGGGCCCTCGGGCAGTGCCCGAGTTTCCAAATGGTTAGTCTGCCCCTGATCCCAGAACAACAGAAGACGGGACAAATGTCTGTTGTCCTTGGGGAGACATCTACCTATCTATAAGGGTAATATTGGATGGAAGGCATTTATCTAGGATTGCTCTATGTGAGATTTGGGGAGTAAAACCTTTCTTGAAGAAGCACAGTAATTCAGGCTAGGCTGCTCCTAAAAAGTTGCTGCAGCCCAGAACTGGGTGATTCAGTTCTTTTCTAAATGATTTTTTAAAGTTTAATAAGCGCGACTAGCACCTTGGAACTTTGCAGCAGAGTCTTTGTTGAGCCATTCACCTTGAGCGGTATACATACCTTTTTTTCGTATGTTATTTCTCTTTGCAAGCCTGTACGCATTCTGTGATTGGGGCTAGTATCAGAGCTATAAGATCTCTGCTTAGTATTTAACACAGTTATAAGATAATAGATATGAGAAAGCATGAACATGATAAAGTATATTACACAATTCCAATATTTCAGGAATTGCTTGTGGTAAAAGTTCAGCAATGAATTTCATTTTGTCCAAGTTCAGATAACGCTATGGCAGATTGCCCAAAAGAGGTTATCTTGTAGCGAGAGAAATTTATTAGAAATTCTTTTGGGGACACTTATAAAAAAAAGGATAAACAAGAACCTAAAGCAAAGTGCTAACTGTATTAAGTGAACAACTATTTACCCTTGTTTTTGGATGTACTGTTCTAGTAGGAAAGAAAATAAAGTTCAGATAACATTGATAACATTCTGCTTAGGTTGTAGGCTGAATACTACCCACTGCACATAGTGCACTTACGGTTTAACCTCATCTGTGGAAAGTTGTTTTTTAAATTATAACTTTCGGCAAAGCTTAAAAAAGAAAAAAAGAAAAGTGTGTGCATATACGTAACCTAATACTGTGTACAAGAGTTTATTATTATAGCTGGAGATCCTTTTTATGTTTAAAAACCTACTCCAGGCAAGAAGCTAATAGTCAAGTTCTACTGTACAGGACTTTATAAGAGGATGGTATCAAGATAATATCAGGTGCCCTAGTTGCATTAAAAAAAAAATTAAAGTTAAAACCATTCTCTGAGCATAGCTTTCCTCACCCCTTTCCTACCTTCTGAAGCCTTTTTCTTACTCACCTAACTCCCCCATCCTTGTCCTTTTCTGGCACTGTTTCTGGAATTGACAACCAGTGATTCAGAGCTCCAACCTGTGCCTACAGTGAATCATCAGAAGAACCCTCCTACTCTAATGAGGATCCAAGTGCATCATCAATGGTTTTATTTATATCTACCCGTAGTTGGGCAAAGAGGTTTTGAACTCTGGAATCTGTGACCATGCAATGCAGTGAAAAGGACAAAAGACTAGTCACCAATTGTTAAAACCTGGATCTGAACTCCGTACCTCTTCTGTTTCTGGCAGTCCCTCTTCTTGCTGAGCCACCTGAGATGCTAGACAGCTCCCTTTCTGATATCTTGGGACAATCTTGCTTTGTCTCTTGTTTTTTGTGAACCTTGAACTCTTTGCTTCTCCCAGGAACTTCCTGATTTAAATGTCTCTGCACTTCCTGTTAATCAAAATGTTGTGCTCTCTCCAGCCAATATCTTGTCATTGTCACTCCTACTGCCACATGTATCTTTGCTACCATTCATTACAGACTTTTGGCTTTTTCCAGGATTGACTTTTGGCTTGTTCCCAATCTGCAACTACAGTACTTGTTACCAGCTTGTTTATTGTCTATGCTTCTGTTTGACCCCTACCTGCTATATCTACTATTGGACCCCAGCTTGCTCACCTCCTGGTGGGATGATCCTGAGGACCTCAACCTAGTACTAACATGCAGGAAAACCCATCCCCACCATCTGGAGCTCTAGTGAATACTGGTTAGTGCTTAGACCCCACACCTTGGGTGAGCCCATGTCATTCCGCCAGGCTTACCTGCTTCTGTACTTATCCAGCTGGTCGGTGGGAGCCTCTCTACTGCTTTACCTACTAGTCTCCAAGCCCGACACCTGATCGTGACACCAGTATTTTCTGTGGTATCCCCACAGCTGATCTTTTCCCATTTGCTGACTTACCATGACTTTTTCTGCACTGTCTCTGTGTGAAGGCAACAATCTTGGCAGAGGCAGGCCTTTCACTCTTTCATGCCAGAGCCTTCAGCAAGGAGAACAGTGAGCAGCACAGTAGCACAGTAGTGGCATCAGCAAATCTCACTCCAGATCTCTTGAGGCTATCAGTCAGAGGCAGCAGTGACTTAGTTCTCACACTGCAGATATATAGACATGAGACTGTAGACACAGGAGGGATTAAGGAAAATTTACATACTAGGAAGTACACTGCTAGAAATTCTAAACAAAAGTCAATCCTTTTGAGTTAAAAACTAGTTTAAACCACAGACATTTAAAAATATTATCAAGAAATAATAAATATAAGCATTTACCCCAACCAGGTGACCCAGCACAACTGAAAGTCCTATGGAGAGTGCAGGTGATCCTACATTGTCATCCCGCCTGTTGTCCGTAGAGGCATAAATGCAGAGCAGAAGTTGCAGTGTTAATATGATTTCCACCGTGACGGCCTGTCCTTCTGTTGCATTGTTGCTTGGCTGAAAAGAAACCACGACACTATAATTCAGATTCCAAACTCTAAGGATATTCACATGAGTTTAAATTTGCTCATATCCATCCATCCTGTTTATCCATACAGAAACAGGTTAGATCACTATTGTCATTTCTTGTGTATTAAAGAGACCTTGTTGCCAGGCCATTCACCTCAAGGATCTTCTCATAGCTTATATCTGCATTTAATGTATTATATATAAATGTTATTATCCTTTGTGAAGGCATCCGAAAAGCCCTAAGACTGCTGCTGGGTGCCCCAGCAAACTCAGAGCTGTCACTCAAATGACATTCAATAGTATTCCCTTTTGCTCCTCTCCAGGCAGCTTCATAAACGTTTATGTAGGGAGGTGGGGGGCAGAGGAGCTGGGCTAGCACATACAGTAGACATTCCCAGATAAAGAGAGGGCTATAAAATGCAATGAGAGAGTGGTCAGTGCTAGTATACTGTAAGTAATCACTTTTCCTACCAAGTTCTTTACCTCTCTGTCTCTCTAACTCTCTTCCCTCTACTTCTCTCACTCTCTCTTTCTTCATCCCGACATCTCTCCACCACTTTCCCTTTCTATTACACTAATTACCTTCACTTCTTTTAGCAAATATTCCTCCTTCTCTCAGAGTTTCCTCCTCATACCCAATACTTAAAAATTCAGTGATGATAGTACAGGAAAAAAACAGTTCCAATGTACTTTACAATTACATTCATGATTAAAGCACTGAATCCTTGTCTATGCTTGAACTTCCTTATGACCAGCCTAGTGGTCATCAAACGTCAATCCAACCAAGTAATCAAAATATTTTAATAGTTAGTGATAAACATGAAATCATTATAATTATAATTAATAAGTATTGACAAGCTCCTGACTTTCTATAATTAGATGCTCCATGTGACATTTAAGATTCCACCATTATTCATTGTGGGATCTAACTTTGAAACAAGGAAGTAGCACAGAATATTTCCAAAGCACAATGTGGCAAATAATTATGGCCTTCATGATTTCAAAACTATCCTTTTGAAACTACAGTTCATTCTTTTCTGTGTCTTAATTCTGAGAGTTGCAAAAATTGTTATTACTGGATAATGAAGGTAATGGTTGGTATAAGTGATAAGCTTTTATTAGAGATGACTCACAGATGTACAGCAGGAGATCAATCTGCAAAGGTGGATATGCTGTGCTGATCCCTGTGTAGGAGTAGGATATCGATATAGCATAGATGTAGGACGCCGTCATGGCACCACTGCCAGAAGATGTGTGTGGCTGTATATTAAAATTCTAGGACATGATCTTACTGCCTGCATCCCAGCACACCAGAAAACAAAAAATAGCAGCCCCACCCCCACCCCCATTAGTTATCAGTCACTTTTTGGCAGTCAAGCTAGCAATTCCCAGATTTTTTTGGCAGTCACTTGTAGCATGTCTGCAGTCTTTAGAAGATTTCTGGAGTGTGTTCACAGTACTTAATATTATACCAAATTTTTTTTAGTATGACAGCAATAAATGTCAGATGCAAATATTGTGTCCCATTGCTAAAAAAAATGGGCATACCAAATTTCTACTCAATACTTGCTATAATTATACCACATCTTGAACCCATACAACCATGCCTATATTTATCAGTCTACACCCATATATTGCTGCTGTGCCATAAACAGTATGTGCTATTAGGCAGTGTCTGGTTTTGTCCATGAAAAAAAAATGAGAATTCCACAAATACTTCTTTATATGATACAGCCTTCATCTGTTTGTTAGATAACAATGTTATATAATTATAATAAAATTTGCACAGCTACCATTGCAGTGCACAACTCTCTGACCAAGATATGGCTGCATAATATGTGAGATTATTGTAACCATACCTAGGAGCTTTTGAAAATCTCAATTCCTGAAAAATGGGGACTGAATGGTGGGTGGGGCTAATAGTGGTACACGTTACCGAGCCACGTTAAATGCTGGTTATGGCCAAATTGCACTTAAAAATGGGAGGGCTTAAAGGATAGGTCAATAGAGGCAATAGTGACAATATGCAACAAACAGGCAATTTTGTCAGTGAAACTAGATGTCCCAACCTGTACAAAGGTGTAACCCACACTGCTGTGGAGGACCTCACACCCACCCACCAGAGAGGAGTAAACCTGGCTTGGCTAGCACTCGCCTTCTCTACATTTCTCGGCTCCCCATGCTTTCTCCAGCTGCCAGCAAGTCTCACAGTTTGGAGGCATAGGTACTATGGCTGCTATGGTGCCAATGAGTGCAGAGCACAGTGGGTTTGATTCACGAGAATAATGTTGTGCATTCTGTATATTTACAAAAATTCCAGGCTGTCCCAGGAGAATTACCTGATTGCAGTAATGACCCAGCAACCAATTCAAAATTCCGGGTCAATTCCAGCAGGATCACAGGTAACTATGTAACTATTCTTAGAGTCCTGACCTCTCCCTTTTAGTTCTGCTGCATTATTTGTCCTGAGCTGGCCAGATAAGGCAGCAAATAAAAAGTAAACTATTAGTATTTGGTGACAGGCATTTGTCTACAAGCGATTTTCAGTATTGACCATTGTATGAGCTAATAATATTACTAATTAGAACGTTTTTTACTGATCCAACAGTAATCACTATGTGACTGTGCAAGTAAGGTGCAGTGTGGTGTGGTAGTGGAAGAGAGCACTAGGGGATGGATTGCAGAGAAAAAAATATATTTAAATGTTCCAACAAGCTACAACTGGCCTGGCGGGTGAGCACAGCCATCCAGAAACACATGCAAAGCTCACAGCAGTGGTCCAGAGGTTCAGAGTGATGCTGATAGTGTCTGCAAGCAGGAGTGGAAGTGCGGCCTGGTGGGTCAACTCCAATTGAGATGCTACTATAGAAGAAACTTTCTCTACCACTAAGTGCTGTCCCCAATAGGCGGGAAAATTGTCCCTACTCTAGCCACTCCCAAAATGCTTGCCAATTTGGGGGGGGGGGAGGAACTTAAATAAACTCTGCCCCCACCCAAGATAGGTGTCACTAGGGGGCCAGCATCCACACAGCTGCTCCCAGATACCCACAGGTAATCAAAGAGGACCTAAGTTCCCCAGGACTTCCCTCCCCTGCTGCAATGCTGCTTTGGATCAAGCGCCACCTACAGTGGGGAGCACAGACTGAAACTGCCTACAACTGTATCTATATTTATTAGCCCCCTTGAATATGGGAGCATCCAGCTGCTGAGTGTTCCTCTTCCCATTTTAGTGGGCCTGGTATAGGTACAGAGGCCAGCTCCATTGCCTGCAGCCTGTCAAAGTCTAGGCTGCATCTGTAAGGGACTGATTAGGGTTGATCTTACAGTCTTTCTTACTTTAGCTTTTCATAAACAAGGGGCAGTTAATATTTGTGGTCAGCTGAAATAGATTTTCCTGACCAACTGCTATTATTCACTTCTGAAAATGCTAGACCCAGAACTATATTAACAATGTATTTTTGTTTTAAATGTATTTATTACAGGTATCCATATATTGCCAACAATTTATGCAGCAGTGTACATATATTGTACTATCACATCAGTCCCTGCCCTCAAGGAGCTTACAATCTAAGTGCCCAGCCTCATATGCAGCCTCAATTTGCCTGCCAACACGTCCTTGCTGTGGAAGAAAACATACACAAACACAAGGAGAACATGCAAATGCCATGTATGTAGGGTTGAGGTTGGGATTTTATTACCCTAGTGCTGCAATGCAGAAGTGCTAACCTCTTAGCCCTCTGCTGTATAAAAATAAGCACATTAAGCTGGTGCAAGCACGCATGTTTATGGTCCAAAAGCTGTTGGCCTCCTGTGCAGTCATAATTTTGCTGCCTAACAGCAGGCGAACATGTGTATTTGTACCTGCGATGGTGTCCTGTGGGAGCTGGCTGTCCCCAAAGAAAACAATAGCAATGAGCTGGGAAAGTCCTTCATGGACAATCTTGCCTAACCGTAAGCAGACTCAGCCAGGGGATATCAGTGAAGACCTATAGACATACAAACTTTCCCCAATAAGATTGTGAATGGCCAGATCACGTGTACATGCTCTTATGTCTATAAGTATTTGTATTCTGTTTCAATGTGTTTATTAAATTTATATGCAAAACATTAAAGTTGGACATTCTTAAGATAGTAAAGTTGCACAGCGGTCCCACAACCCGGGCAGAGAATAAAGTCATAATTAATAGACCAGGAAGATACAGATGGTATATAACATAAGTATCAAAACTGCACAGAAATTCAATTGAGAAGAACAAAACATAGTGATTATATACTGTGCCCACTAGTTGGACATACCAACATCTAGGTACCCCCTTTTTCCATAGCATCTAGATACCCCCTTGTTCCATAGCATCTAGGTACCCCCTTGTTCCATAGCAGCTGCTCAATATCAGCAGGAGATAAATTTGAAATCACAATCTGTGGTAAGCAGGGGCGGACTGACAACTCATGGGGCCCCCGGGCAATAAGGGATCATGGGGTCCCTGTGTCCTTGCTCAAACTCAAAAAAGCCTATGAAAAAGGTACTAGGGGCATCTCATGGGGCCCCCTACTGACCCCGGGCACTCGGGCAGTGCCCAAGTTTCCAAATGGTCAGTCCGCCCCTGGTGGTAAGTAAAGGGGTATCTTGTCGTTGCCCAAAAACAGAAGGAGAAATAGTAAGAGAAGAGGGTAGAGAAGAGAAGAAAAAGAAAGAAAAAAAGTGGAGTTGAAGCCCGTCCACCATGTCCACCATATAGTCAAAGGTTGAAGTTAATGGATCCAGGGGTCCCAAACCCCCTCAGTCTATAGGCATTTTTAGAGAGCAGTAACAAAAAGATCTGCCATTGCTCCCCAAGCACTTATTAAAATATGTTATTCATTTGCTGCAGAAACAAAAGATTTAAACCTGATGTTTTAAGAGATATATTCCACAATTGGCAGTGTTTCTTTTTCATCTTTTATTGTTATCTTTTTTATTACTTCTTCTTAGTTCTACAATATTTTCCAAGACATTAGTTTATGAAGTGCAGGCAAATCGCATTAGCTCAAACCTCCATACACATATCATTGGAGCAGATACAGTTTCACTTTATTAACTAGACTAAAAATATATTTGACTTTTTTTTCCTGTAATGTGGGGTAAAGTGCGTTATTTAACTACACAAAGGTTTATAGCTGCAAAAGAAATGAAGAAAATGTTTCAAATGTTATATATTTATACTGGGAATATTCAGAACCGAGGCACATTTTTAAAATGGCTTTTCTAGCGTTTATTTATTTTTGAATTGTAGCTGGATGTTCCTATTGTGTTTGCAATGATTGCTGGTTTCTGCTTTGAAACATTTCATTATATGCACTTTGTACGGAAAGAAAACCACTAGAGACAGAGGGTGCAACTGATGTTGGGTCTGTAAAGCTTAAGGTGCTTAAGGTTTGCAAAACATCAGCCCTAAAGTTGTTTGTTGCTGGTGGTGGTGGTGGGGGGGGGGGGTTAAAGTGAACCTGTTGCTTTGACCTGCATCGTGCAGCTTACAGGTTTATTGTGCACATGTAATCAGCCTATAGACATTAAAGCAGAGCTCCACCCAAAAGGGTAAGTTCAGCTTTAAGGACTGCTCCCCCACTCCCCATTAAGGATTGGCACCTTTGGGGGGCAGGGGGGAAACGGGTACACAAATTTGACAGGTACCAACTCCCACTTCCGGTCCGATCGCCTCCCTCCCTCCCTCCCTGTAGTCTTTTGGGACACGTGACAGGTCCCAGAAGACTACATGACCATTCATGAAGCGCATGCGCAGTGGGTACCCAGCTGTGAAGCTGAAGCTGACACAGCCAGGTGCCCACACTGAAGATGCCAGCCTCCTGGAATCCAGGACGGCCAGTTAAACAGTCTTCGGGGGACACACCGCAGGACCGAGGGACAGGTAAGTGGCTGTTTTTTAAAAGTCAGAAGCTACAGTTTTTGTAGCTGCTGACTTTTATTTTTTGACAGGGTGAGTGGAACTCCGCTTTATAGTATTTACATATTCTTAACAATTGGTAAATGAGCTTTAAGTTAATCATTGACCTCTGAAACTGCAGGAACAATTCATCCTCAAAGTTCCCAACAGATGCACTAAAGTTAGGTTGTAGTTGATTTATCAGCAGTCTAGAGCACAAGCACTGTGTTTGCATTGGAAGACTGAAAGGCTGCCAAGTCACTGCTGTGAGAGGGAACAGAAGAGGAAGGGATACGACTTAAGTGATTCTGCTGTGAACAGTGCTTGCTGCTACAGAGGTAAATGAGAACTGAGGCTTAATTGCTGATGCCGTTTTTTGAAAACAATAGATATATGACATGCTGATATGATGCTGTCATGACTGCCCTCTACGTCTATCTTTTCTAAATTTACCATGGAGTTTGACGTCACTTGTGCCCGTGTAGTAATGGACAAGGTCATCTAGTGCCCAGGGCAACCTAACTATCCCCCTCCCTGCCCCCTGCCAAGTATAAATGTTCTGTGCAACAAAAATTCTCCCCAAACAAAAATCCAAAAATTCCTCCTCCTTCTCCTAGTACAAATCCCCCTCCCAGCACAAATCTTTGCCCCTCCCATCCCTCCTTCTAAGGGCTCGTTCACACTTGGCTGTTTTACCAACGCTTGCCAAACGCCCCTATAGCGTTTGGCAAGCGTTGGTCCGGCGTTTGCGGAGCGTTTTTTAACGCTCGGCAAATGCCGCATGCGCGGTTTAGCGGCGGTTGCTAGACGTTTGCCAAACGTTAAAAACGCCCCACAAACGCCTGTAATGCAGTTTGAATGGTGTTACCGCTCTGCAAACGCGTCGCAACCGCACCGCAAACGCCGGCCGAGCACCATAGACTAGAATAATCCTGACTCGACCAGAGGCGTCCGTTTTGCCGTGACACAACGCGACGCAAACGCTCCCGTTAGAACACCATGTGCTGTAATGTGCAGAATTGGCAGAGGCGTTTAGGAAGCGGTGAAACCGCTTCCCAAACGCCTCTCTGCCGCCTGCACACAATGCTAATGTGAACGTAGCCTAACTCAAATCCCTCTTCCCCTCTTATTCCCCTCTCATAGCACCCATCCACCTCCAAGAAAATAAAAAATCACCCCTCCTAGCTCAAATCCCCCCCCCCCCCAATTTCCCCTTCTAGCAGGAGGGAGGAGCTGCAAGGGGGAGAGCAGAGCCCGAACTTCCTCGCAGGTCTCTCCTCCTCTCTGCTGCTGTCACTTTTCCTGTTCACTGTCACTACCCCTGTAGCGAGTTATCAGCACTTAAGGAACAGAAACCCACACTCACTCTGCACCCCCCCCCCCCCACACACACACACCCTTTGTGTCAATAATTAAGAAATGAAATAAACCAGAAGTGACATTTTTAGAAGATCAGCAATGGCAGCCCATATATTGATTTGATGCTGAAAATCTTTTTTTTCATGTTAGTGTGAACCCTGTAAGTAAATATAATATCCTTGACTGATGACCAGTTTGTGAGTGCACACTGATAATCAGAGGTCCCATAACCAGATTTATGGACCGTTTGTTTGTTTATACACTATTGCACTAGTTCTAATCTTGTCTTACACTAAGTGTTCCTTTTTTGTGTGGGTTTCTTAGTGCTCTGGTTTCCTGCCACAACCCAAAAGCACAATGGTACTCTTGTAAACTTTAGCTACATTTGCACCTACTTTAGCTCAGTTTGTGCTTGTCTAACTGCAGGAGAAATAAATCTCGAAAGCTGCATCTTGGTAGAATTGTGGAATTTGCTGGAACTATATATGGATGCAATACATATTGACATATGCATCTCTGTTATTATCCATTTTCTTTCCATCACAGCAACTTACCCCATTAACACCAAAGCTTCCATGGAATTCTTCAGGAGTAAATTCATATAGCAAGCCAGCTCCAATCGCAGCTCCCAATAGCTGGGCACAGACATAACAAATGGCACGAAACAAGGAAATCTGAGATGACACCAGGAATGCCACAGTCACAGCTGGATTAAGATGGGCACCACTTATATGCCCAATGGACTGGACAAGCGTTCCAATTCCCAGACCAAAAGTAAAGGATATTTGCAAGATTGTCGGAAGTTGTGATGGCCATGTCAATGTCGAGCCAAGCCCAAAGAAGACAAATATCAAAGTACCCAAAAGTTCTGCAGTAAAGGCCCTTGTGAATGGCCCGCTACACATCTCCATAATCATTATTGATGAATGCACGACACGAAGAGAGGAGAAACTCCTTATTAGAAATGTTTGCCTTCTGTAGATCTCAATGAATGATATGGGAAGGAGTAGAGCAACAAATTATATACAAGGTCGGATGATTGCAATGTTCCAAGGGGTGGCACCCATCCCACAGAAAATGATAGCTCCTATCCATCACAAACACAAAACTTTCATACTGCTACAGAGGCTCCTTCAGTAATGATACAGGTGAGCATCCTTCCAAGGGATTATGCCACGGTAGAAGTTGATAAATGTTACTGTAAAGCAGGAGACACTTTTCATTGTAAGCATTGTCATCTGTGAACACACGTGTGATCTATTCATGCCACATTGTTGAAGTGTTAACGTGAGGCACTAATATGAAAATTGCTCCTCATTATACACTGATTCCATCTCTTTGTAATCGTTCAGTAACTGAATATAAGAATGCTACAGTATGTTTTTCATTATGAAATGGTTATCTAAGTGTATGAATACAATTTGAATTTAAGTAAATATGGATTAGCAGATCCCAGGTAAAACCCTTTTAGGTAGATCATTATAAAAATCTCCACAATATGCCTAAAGAAGGCCTAACTGAATTATATGTATTTTGCTAAAGCACTATGTATAATATCAATTGCCATAAAAATACTGCATTTTATTCTTTTCTTTTTTTTGGAATTCAAGTATTGCTAATCTTCGCCTTTAAAGCCACTTCCTGTCTATATATCATATAATCATTTCTCTAATCCAGCTTCCTATAGTGACAGTGGTATGGACCATATCTGTGCACCAATTATCAGAACAGTTGCCTATAGTCTTAATCAGTGGCACATGTGATAATGTGATGAGGTGACAAAACTTAGAGACTCCATATCAGGACGTGCCTGAACAAGGACATCCATGGCAGGATCAAAAAGCGGAAAATTTAAAAAGATTGAAACAACATTTGTACTTAAATTAAAGCTGAAGTTTAGTATATTTTAGGGAAAGGGATAAAGCACCAAACACGTTAGTTATGTGTAATGGTGTGTATTCCATTACTGGCAGGCAGCTGCTTCTCCTAAAAATCTTCCCTGTAGTGTCTCCTTCACAGCCTCCAAATATTGCCCTGATGTTTTCTGGTGCTTTGAAAGTTAAGAGCAGCCGCTGCTACTGAGAAGACTTAAACCACTCGCCCCCTTTTGTCCTTTCCACCATTCAGAGAATTCTTACTATTGGAGGAGGGGCGGTTGAGTGACAGGATCTCTCCTGCCCATTCAGAGAATGTAATACATTGTGGGAGTATAGCAATACTGGAAAGCTGAATGGAGGAGGAGCAGAAGGGGGCGGGCATGCAGCACATCTTTTCCTCTGTAGCAGTGGCTGTTGCAAATCTTCTCAACTCCAGAAAACAGTCACTCATGGCAGTATCCAGGTGCTGTGAACGAGATATTTCATGGATGATTTTTGGCAGAAGCAGCCACCTGCAGGTAATTGGATACACACTATTACATATACATAAATGTCAACTTTAACATATTAAAACTTACATGAGCATTTAGGCCCACATCTGGCGATTTGGGACCACAGGCAGAACTGTCGCAATGCAATCGCAGCAAAACACGGCACGCACAAATATCAATTATCGCACAGCAAGCACAAAAAAATGCTATCGAGTGAAGCTTGCTGCCCAAAAGAAACTCCTGCTCCTTTTTCACTTTTCACATGATGCAGTTTACCTGGATTGCCACACGATTCCTTCGGACGACAATCGTGTCAAAACTGCACCGCATTTGAGGTGCCATTAAAAATGAATGGCACGCAAAGACGTGCTGTGTTCTGACATGATTGCAATGTAATTTTGAATTGTAGACAGAATTGCAGCAATTTTGCCCGTGACGTCAAATCAACAGATGTGAATGGGACCTTAGTGATTTAATTTATATTTACTTTACAGATTTTTGTTACTTTTTACAATCTCAGTTTTCAGCTATCTTTCGATATTTTAACAATGCTCTAAAAAGCTCCTTATTTTAAGCAGTTTGTGGTTTGCGATTTTAAAGGGGTAGCTATTTTAGCCTCTTTAGAAGTAAAAGTAATGCCCTGTTGCGGTTACTGTGGAAAAGTAAACCTGATGTGGCATAAAACTTTTCTAGTTTAAAGCTATACTGTGTATTCTCACATAGGTGGATGCAGCATGGATTCGATGCTACATCTGCCCCCATTGCCTCAGGTCAATAACATAAAGTCTCTGTCCTATCCTCACCATCCCAGATTTAATAAGATATAATAAAGCCCAAAAAGGTCAATAAGGAGATGGAACAGGCAGAGACACACAGAATAATCAAAAAGATCATCCCCAAATAAACGCATGTAGTCAAATAAACGCATGTATTCAAAAAGCTGGTAAAACATAATCACATCAGAGAGGGAACGGGGTGAGGCCATGGCTGGGCAAGGAAGTCACGCATAAAAATGGGTAAGATCCCATTCAAAATTCAAACCATTAGGAATTACATGTACACAAATAAAAAATCCAAAAGACTTCACAGCAACCTAAAGCCTTCTCCAGCCCTAGGAGACCTGTCCACCCTCTCAATGCCCTGTATGCTCAAAGCACAAAGGTTACCTTCATGAGCACTGTTAAAATGATTAGTGACATTGGTAGAATGATTCTTTTGTATGTCATAAACATGATCATGGAGGCGATCTTGTAGCCTCCTAGTCGTCCTACCAACATATTTTACTTGACAACTTCTACAAGTGATCAAATATATTAGATGCTAGTATTACAGTTGATAAAGTTCTTGATCCTGTAAACCTTACCACTAACCGTGGATCTACATTTCTCAAGAGCAACAGGAACATCCATCTATACCACACCTATAGTTACTCTTAAAACTCAGCCATGTTCTCTGAGTTTTTCTAGAGGAGAAATAGCTAGAGGACAGAGTGTTGCCCAAAGTAGGTGCACGTCAGGAAACCATTTTAGTACCGCGGCCAATATTTGTGCAAATATGTCATCACTCAGAAGTATGGGAAGATAGCGCTCAATGATCCTTTTATTTCTCCGAAACTCTAGGCTGAAAGCAGTGGAGAAAACCAGTGGTCCCTGCCTGGAACTACACATCACCTTTGTTATTAATAAGTTGTTCCTGTCAGTATTGTTAGCTATACCCACAACATGATCTATCATGGGCACTGGATAACCTCTCTGTAAGGTATATGGACCTTTGTCTTCGAATTTGCCTTCACCTACAAAAGGCAAATCATAATAATTTTCTACTTTAGGAGGGAGAGATTTTACTGCCGAGTTCAGGATTTATTGCCACAGAACTAACACTAAGTGCTAGTAATGACAGCTCTCCATCTGCACACCCCAGAGAAAGACCTCTATGGCTGTCCCCAATTAGGAATGCTGTTACGGTAGCTAGACATATAAAAGAAAAACTTACTTCAAAGGGAGGTGATCATCTAACGATTGGCCTATATGCATGGTTTCCTACATTGATATTTCTCTGGCATACATTTACACAATTCCTTTTTATCTTGCCTTGGACTTGGCTGATATTACTCATGCAATTCAACTTACTGGTACTCCATAGATTGAATGTTAACCCTACACTTCAGATAGGACCTTAAGCTGACTGTGACAGCAATACTTTATCTGAATAAGTGAACTATAACTAATTATTACAGTATATCCTTCTTGTTCAAAACGGAAGTTGTCCCCACAGATACAGTAGTTGCGTTGGCTGTGTTTGCAAAAGGAGAGATTACCTGAGGGAGGACCCTTCTCTCCATTGTCACCATAGCTGGCACACTTTCATTGACTCCAGAATAGATTTACTCCTCATTTATGGCAATACAACAGCAAAGGGCCAGATACTCAGGCTCTATACTGTCTATCCTGTGACACTACACCAAATGAACTGGTGACCACTTGATCTTGTTGTCTTTGTGGTCACTTTTGAAGCTTACTGCAGACTATATTAAATGATTAACTACTAATCACACCAATATTTCTGATCCACTGTACTGCCATCATAGACAATGATGACCAACGCGAAGAAGATCAAACCCACTTGTTTTTGGTTTAGGACACAGTTCAGCCCTATTTCAGGATAAGTGACACTGGAGGCTGCCAGTGCTGTATACATTTTTTATTTGTTTATTCTTCTTATTAACTATTTGATCTACTCCTTGAATACGAGCTACCGCTGAAATTAAAGGTCAGTTCCAGATATGGAAATTTTTACATAGTTACATTGATCCAATTGGACAAAAGTAATTATATATGGTATGCACCATACCTGTGGGATCCCTGAGGAAGCTGAAAACCACTGTACTAGGCACCATTACTGCAGTGATGTAGTTTTCGAGTCCTCTGCTGAGCAGCTGCCCTGCTTCCTTGTGAACACAGGAGGTCAGGCCCAGACTGGCCATAGGGCACACCGGGCATTGGGCCAGGGCCGTCTGAATAGGACGGGTAGCTGGGCAGCACATAGAGGAACCAATCCGTGCATTTCACTCCTGCCGCCACTGAATGCCCGCTTCTCCTCCTCCCCCTCATGCAGGCATTCAGCAGCGGCAGGAGAGAAATGCACAGTCCAGTTCCTCTATGCGCCGCCCCTGCGCAGCCCTGTTGCCCAGGTTCCCCCCTCCCTGCAGGTGCTGCAGAGGTTCCGTCAGGATAGACTGTCCCCAGTGCTGATAGTATCCCCACCACAGATGGGAGAGTAGAGAGAAAGTTGGTTCTGCCCCCTCCTCCCATCCTCTCCTTCTGTGTCTGCCTCGTCCACACTCCCCAGTAGTCTTGTGTCTTCTCTCCCTTCTTCTTCTTTCTTTCTCTCTTTCTTTCTTTCTTTTTTTCCCACTCACCAAAGCCCCCCCAATGGAGCGCCTATAAAAATGTAAAAAAAGTGGCGTTCTGCCACCAGGCTCCAAGGAAAGGGTCCCCAGGCATGGGGCTGCTCAGTCTAAAATGTCCCAGTTCAGAC